TGACCGAATTGAAATATTTATTATTTTTGCTAAAGCATTGCCGAAGAAACTCTTTGCACACTTCAAAATTCTAGTAGGACAAGAGTATAGACCATGAGATTTGTTGTTGGAAAGCAATATAATTTCATACTCGACCTCTTCAGGTGTAGCTGGTTGAAAGAAAAAGGAATCTGAATTTTGGACGGTAGGAAGGTAGTCAGAAAAAATTATTTGTTGATGGAGGTAATTTTGCTGCTAGGTTGAAACCAACAGATGCAAAATGCTTATTAATAATATTAGGAATTCTCTCAGAGTCACGTACAATTCCAGTTCCACTAAGCTCCTTAATAGCACATATAGATTTTGACCACCCTCAGTGCCTACGCCTCATACTAACCATCTCTCATTCATAAATCATTGTAAAGCGCCTTTGAACATATTTATATAGAAAAGAGCGCTATATAAATATCATAATCATCATAAATTTTGAAGACGATTCACCGCACATTTTTTGAGTTTTTTCAGTTTAAATTTTTCTTTCGCAAGTTCAAATACAATGCCTAGGTCATCGACCATTTCGAGCCTCCTTAAATAAAAATATGTATTTTTTATTATTTTTATCATATAGTACGGTTATAATTAGCGTCCTTAGTAATAAGATTGAATAATAACTTTTTGTTGTTGTTGATATTTTCAGAAAATAATAGCGTTATGTTTAACTCGTCCTCAAACGGAAGTGATTCGCTACGTGGTAAAGAAAATTTTATAGAATATCCTTGGTTACTGGTTTGGTCATCCCTTTACGCATTTATCGCTTTTGCTTCATTCACTGGTAACGTTCTTATCATCACTGTGTTTTACAAGAAACGAAAACTTCGAACAAGGACCAATTATTTTGTAATCGGGCTTGCTGCAGCGGATGTTCTTGTTGGTCTGGTAACAATACCGTTATGGGTGGCCTATTTCAATCTTCTATATAATAAAACTTTCGAACAGGCTATGACTGTAAAACAAATTTTCAGTCCAATGGATATTTTCTCTGGAATGCTTTCCATATTACATTTGATGACCATCAGTTTGGAGAGACTGTATGCTATTGCTTTACCATTACGTCATCGCACATCGAGAACAATTTACAACATAATGATACTCGCAATAATTTGGGTCAGCGGTGGATTAGTAGCTGCATCGTACTTTTTCCTGCCACAGGGAATAAAATGGAAAGGCACTTTTATGATCTACTCTGCTCTTGGCTTCTTTATTCCATTTTCTATAATATGCGTTGCCTATTTGAGCATTATGGTGATCGTTAAGAAACAGACCAAATCCGTGACTCGCAGCCGAGCAAAAATTGTTAAAAGAGAGAGTAAAACAGCCATTACAGTTTTTACTCTTGTCTTGCTATTTTTGATCACATGGTTACCATTTTTCAGTCTCAACATGGTACTATTTGCTTGCCAGAAATGCGCATTATCAGTTACCTTTAATCTTGTGAGTTTCTGCAAAGCTCTTCATTACATGGGATCAGCGTTAAACCCTGTCGTATACTCAGCGCGTATGCCTGAATTTCGACGGCCAATCGCAATGCTCTTAAGACAGAGAAGATTTTCGCAATCTTTCTCCAGAAGATCTTCAAAAAGGTCATTCACAGGCGGCCATTTTTCTCAAGGCAGTAGAGGCGACTATGAGCTTAGTGACTTTAGTGGAATCAAAGATATACTAACGGAAAGAGCTTAACAAGGTTATGAAACTTCGACTGCGAAACTTTGTTTCTAACCCTTAATAATGATAATAATAATAACAATAATAATAATAATAATAATAATAATAATAATAATGAAAACTTTATTACCAGTGGTTCATTGAGAAACAGTTTAAACCTCCGATCTCTCAAAGCAACTTTAAACAAAAGAATAAATCAGAACAACCCTTTGGATTGGAGT